AGATTAAAAGAAGTCCTTATTCATGGTCAATGGTTGTTAAATGCTAGTTAGAAGAACTCTCCATTAATAAAAAATGGAGACAGACATATGTTACGTGAATGAGTTTAATGTTCCCAAATGCTCTGAGATGCTAAACATAGCAGATCATATCGTGACTATCGTGCAGCCTCTTTTACTGTTTTTTTTTTTAATGTTACATTTGATGTGACTAATTATTAGCTTCTCAACTCACGAGCCCCTATTTGGGAAACCCTGATATAGATAATGTTATTTTCTAAATATATAAATGCATTTAACACATAAAGAATATAAATTAGCATCAGTTAATGTGTTATGAACAAACATTAACAATGAACAGCAAGCTACATTAATGTCATGTTAAGGAGCTGAAACTCCCTGTAAAGAGCTGGCTTGAGAACTCTTACCTGCCAGGGAGGGAAGTTGGTATCTCCAGAGCAGGCCGTCTCATTGCAGGTCAGCAGCGCCCTGAGCCCATGAGCGAAAGCATGTATGGCCACTCTCTCTCTGTAGGCCTCTCTCAGGTCCACTGCCTGCAGCACATCATCTACGGCGCAGGTGGAGGGCGACAGGGAGCAGTTCAGTCGCAACTGCTTGTACTCTTCTATGTAGTCATTTCTTGCTCCTGGTGTTGGCCTGAGGTTTTTCAAGTAGTCTTCGAACCCTGGTGTAATTCCCATGGAAAAGGAAAAGCCAAAGATTTCACCCACTTTGTTGATGTCTTTCATTTTTGTTAAGAAGCGGTTCATGGACCAGGCGTCGCTCGCGATCCAAATTCTGCTCGTGTTGGTTTGGATCATCTCCTTGAAGAGTTTCTCCACAAGCTGCGGCTTCAGAATGAGCAGCACAACCTTGGCTTCAGATTTTCGTATACTCTGAGCAACATCTTTGATGTGCTTATCGACATCAACGTGGTCCAAGTAGTGTGGAACCACTTTCTCAAAGTCAGCACATATTTTTCCCTCGGACTCTTGCATGAAGCTTTGGTAGGCCGCTCTACCGTAGTCATCATCTCCATACATGACACCAACCCAGTTCCAGGAGAAATGAGACATGAGTTTGACCAGAGCCTGAGCTTGGTAGACGTCGCTCGGAATCACGCGCATGAAGGACGGATACCGCAGTTTGTCGCTCAGGACTGGAGAAGAGGACGAGCAGCTGATCTGTTGACAGATAAACCTCATGCCTTAGTTTTCTGCAGACCGTGACTAGTTACCTGACTAGAGTTACAGAGAGTTTCACTGGGCTTAAAGCGATTGGTCACCCAAAATGGACAATTCTGCCATCAGAAAGAGAAATTATACAGCTCTTGTCACACAATGAGTCTGCCAAGCTCCAAATACGACTTGTGTGCTACGTTCTACGTTTTCAAAATCATACACTAGCATTGACTAAAGGACAGAAAATGTGTTTACAACAAGTGTTTATCAGTGATAATCTTGCCATTTTTTAATCTAGATGTGGGCCAGAGTCATGTCTTGTTCTTTTCCACACCGAAAGCATCACATGACTTCAGAATGCATGGAATATACAGTACAATGTAAGTCAGGACTACTGATTTGACAAGTGTGGCCAATGTGAACCTGTGTAGTGTGGAAAAGAGCTGCATGAAGATTCTTCAAAAATTATTTCCAGAAGAAATAAAGCCGCACAGGTTTGGAGTGGCATGAGCGTATGTAAAAGATGAGTATTTGGGGGATTATTCAGGTAAACATTGGCTGTAACAGTTAACAAATTACCTGAGGAAACAGGTAGAGGCTGAGGAGCTTGGCGATAGCGATGGATAACTCTGAGTATCTTTCTCCCAGAAGAGCTTTCACTGGCGGACGGAAGTCTGTGTAGTCCACAAGGGCTGGCAGAGAGCCGTTAACGGCCAGTAAATGTTCCACACAGTGCAGGGCTTTAGTGGGAGATGCACAAGGATCACAGACTTCATATCCCAGCTTTATCCCCGGAAGCAATGTAGAGTTATTGATTTCTTCAATTGTGTGGATGGCACTCAGTGATTGTAGAAATGTGGTCAGATCAAAACTGGTAAAAAGAGAGAGAGACTTCTTAGTTCCCAGCCCTGGTGCTGGAATACCTCAGCAGTACGCATTTTGGTTGTCTCTCTTATAGTAAAGATGTGCAGATGTAGGACAAAAAATAATGTGAACACCCATTATTATTATTATAGGTGTGTTACTTACTATAATTTGTGAAGTCTACACTGAAAAACCAAATGCTGTGATTCTATTTTATTTATATTTCCTTTCTCTATATTCTCAAGTTTGTACATCAGTGTAGTAAAAAAAAGCCCTAGTAAAAAAGTAATGTATTTATGTAAATACTATATCATACTAAGTATAGTTCAAATCTATATTAACATATTTACTTACATAAACTCGCACCTTTATGCATATTTAACAATACATATTTCTTATTATTAAGCCTAAAATGTGTTTTAAATGAAAGATGTTTAAAGTGTATCTGAAGTATACTTGCAATAGTTTCACTTTAGCACAATCAAATATACTTCAGTATACTGTATCTTTAGTTGGACCTCAGCACTACTTCCACAGAGCATTAAACACTAAATTAGTCTTTAAATATATCAGTTTAGTATACTGTACCAAAAGTACAACTGCAGAGTATTTTTATTAAGCACATAAATATGTAAATGTATTTGTAGTGTACTTAGCACAAAATAAATATATTTCAAATACATTTTAGTATATTTATTTATTTTCACTAGGGTAAGTTGTGTTCATCAGTGTTTAGTACAAGCCGTGGGTGAAATGGGAAATGGAAGCCTGTCTGTAACCTTAACAGCCCAATTTATTGGTGTTTTAAAAACAACAGTCTTTCTAACAGTCTTTTTACAGAAATACTGCAGCAAAACTCAGACCCTGTTTCCACAAAAACCGAACACAGAGAACTTCACAAAGCCAGTTTTCATGAAAGAAAAACCCTCTAGGTCTCTTCGGTCACTTTAGACAGAAAAATGTGTACGTTTTTTTTGCTTCATCGGAATGAGATGACACTTGGTGCATTGTGAACACACACAAAAAAATCATAATAAGATTCGGATATGTTAAAGCAGGTGTTCTCAGCTCTGGCCTGCAGGAAAGTGGACCTTGAGTGCCAGAGTTGAGAACACCTGTTTTAAAGTGTTGAAAAATAAAAAGTAACACTTGGTACCTTCACGGTCAAAAATGAGCGACATAGGAAATGAATGGGGGAAAAATCTGATAAAATTGAATGGAAAAAATAGCTAATAAAAATTGTATAAATATTGCATAGTATCATATAAATCTCCCCAAAATCCAAACAATAATCAACAAATATTATTGAACAAAAATATATTACAGTAATTTGATTTTCCTCTACAGATATTTTTGGAGAGAAGAGTGAGAAGCTGAATCTCTCTTTTTTTAATACTTTGATAAGTGAGTTTTCAATTATATTTTGACCACTGAACTAGTAAATGTCCCTGATTTCCATTTGAGAAATCAGGTTAGTGTTAGGAAGGATCCAAATGATAATTTTTCCCCCACTGTTCCTGCTTTTGAAAACATAAGAAAGTCTTGTGCATACTCACCCAGTACAAACGAATGGCTGTGGTTTAGTTCGTTTATGAAGGTCGATTACTCTAGAGTGAATTGAACTCAAAATTGCGCAGTTAATGTCTCCATCCAAGTAAGCTCCGCTCAGGGGGCTTTTGCAGTGGACCGAGCACAGCAGCATCACCCCCAGCACACAGAGCTGAAGACAGCACCTCATCATGCTGAATGTGTGCAGATATGGTGCCGAGGGGCTATTTATTCTCAAACTGGTTCTGCTTTTTGGGTGACGTGAGTCGGAAAGCTGGTTTTGGAGGTGACTGTGTCTGAACGTTACCTCTGATGTGCTTCTAGGATTTCCCATGGGCAGAAAAAAAGAGAAGTGGAGAAATTCACCTGCTCAGTCACTTTTCTGTCATCCGTGATGGAATGTGGACTCATTCTGCAGGTTACAGTAAAACAGTTGTTTTCGTTTCATTTGCAATGATCAGAAATGATGGCAAAATGCAGAAATGACAGAAGCAGTGTCGTGAGCTGAGACTTCAGGATCCGGAGCTTTAGTGGGTCTGGAGGTGAAACGCTCATGCATCAGTTATGATAAATCAACATTCATATTGTTCATGTGCATTAAAGTAGATACATGTTTAGAGAGGTCAGCAGCAGCGCTCAAAGAAAAGACATGACCAATGGGATCAGGAAATGAAAAACCAACCAAATGAAGCCATAATTAAAGTAAAAGAAGCAGTGAGAATAAAAGGAAAATGAGGGTTTCTTCATGTGAATCTGGCACAAATACAAACAGAATGTGATCTTAATACAATATAATATCCTACATATTGACACTGACATTTTGTGCCAATTAATATCTGTTGAAGTGAGATGTTGCTTTCAAATATCTGCTACTGTACACAAAAACCAGGCATGATGAAGAAATGATTAACCATGAAACCTGGGCCAGCCCAGATCCACAACGATCACAAAACAACTAACAAAAACACATTAAGCATCTTAAGTTATTAATGCTTGTAGAATTGTCCTCTTAACATGTCCCTACAGCAATTTCACAAGATATATCAAACAAAGAGACTCAAAATTAAAAAGAAAAAAGTGTACACAACCATAGGCGGAAATCCCAGGACCCCCCCCCATCTGAGGGTTGTTTAAAATTATGATTAAAAACCACGCTGTGTATTGTAAATAACAATGTTTTATACTTGAAATAATTGTGTAAGTAGTAAAACAACACAAATGGGGCAAAAATGTGTTTTAAGTTTAGATACATTTTGAGTCTCCCCTCCCTTGCCTCACTGTGCTTTGGTCCAAATGCCTGCTTTCCTCTTTTACATCACCTACACACACACACACGCACAAGCACGCGCACGCACACGCACACGCACACATACATAACACACACACACACACTCACACACACACACACACACACACACACACACACACTCACACACGAGTCCGGTGAGAGAGAAGTCAATAGTTGTGACACTCCAGTAAGTAAGGCTGTCAAGGCTATTTTATTCACTTAAAGGAGACATATTATGCCCCTTTTTACAATATGTAATATAAGTCTCAGGTGTCCCCAGAATGTGTA